ACTCTAAGATAGCTATCTCTATAACTATTTCTACTTATATAGCTTTTATTATTATAAATAATACTAATCTTAATAAGATAATAAAAATAACTAGAGAAAGAAGTATATATTTCTTTAATAAATATATTAAATATATATCTCTCTAGATAATTAAAAGCTTACTTATAATAATAAAGCTATTATTAATACTCTAGATCTAGTAATTATATCTACTAGATCTAGCTTTATATTATATAGCCTGTAGTTACTACTATATACTATAAGTATTTAGAGTAGATAAAGAATAGCTAGAGAAATAACTATATCTTAATAATAGCTATCTACTTATAGATATATATTATAATCTAAGATATTCTATATAGTTCTAATATATTCTATACTACTTTATATTAATTAAGGCTTTTAAAAGTTAGTTACTCTAGTTATTAGTTAATTTTATATCTATAAGTATAGTAGATTTACTATAGAGAAATTTTTTAAATAATATAGATTTAATTAAATCTAATATCTATTTATACTTTATTAGTTATAATATATAATATAATTAATTAGTTAATAAAGATATAATTAATTAATTAATTATAATAAGCTTTAAAAGAGAAAAGATAGTTATTATTATTAGATAATAGTTTCCCCTCTTAGGAGCTATAGCTAGGTTTTTATATCTAGCTATTAAATAACTTCTATTAGTAGAGTTTTTTCTAAAATTAATACTTATATCTAGACTAAAAGTATAATATTTAAACTTTTTCTTATAGTATTAAAGGTTTAGATATAGATTACTAATTATATTCTTAATAAAAATTATATAATTAGATTATATATNTTAGAATTAATTAGACTTTTATTTATAGCTAAAAAAAAAAAAAAAATAGAAAATATAGGTTTAGTAATATAAGTAATTAGAGATAATCTCTTCTATCTCTAGCTAGCTAATCTATATATTAGTTATAAATATATATAGAATTATATATCTAGTTAGATAACTATAGTAGTATATATCTTATAACCTAATATTAAACTAATAAACTATAAATAATATAGTAAAATCTAATAAATTAATATTTATACTATTTATATTTAAAGTAATACTAAAGATTATAATAAACTAATTATAATATATTAAAATAATTAGTAAAATAATAATAAAGCTTTATAAGATTATAATAAAGAGAAAAATTAATAATATTCTTAATATAAAAAATAATTTAAATAAAAAAGAAATATTTTTATAATTATTTATATTAAAAAGTAAAGTTATTATATATTTTAATAAATAGAAATATAATTAATACTCTAGAATATTAATTAAGCTTATATCTAGAGTATAATTAAACTATTATATAATATAGTATTAGATATTTTAAAGAAATTAAAAGATTATTATTTAAAAGAAATTATATTCTAAATAGTAAAATCTCTTTATAAGGGTTAGAAGGAGCTTTAGAATTATAAGAATATAAATAGATAATATTCTTAATCTTAGAAAATAAGAGTTTATTAAGTTAGAGAAAGTAGAGCTTTTAAAAATAGATTTTAAAGTAAAACTAGCTAATATATATACTTTAGAATTAAAAAGATTCTTTAATAGCTTTATAATAAAAATATTTAAAAAGATAATTAAAATATATTAAAAGAATTAAATAAATTATTTTAAACTTTTAATTATAAAGTAAGAGAGTATAGAAGAATTCTATATAATATAAAAAACCTAGGGAATATATATTATATTAACTTACTAATTTAAAGTTATTTTTAATTACTTAATTATAATATAAGTATAAGAACTTATTAAAATAGATTATAAAGTATTTAATAAATATATTAAGTAATAACTTAGTATATAATAAGATTATATTATTTATAGTATATAGTAATTTATAATTAGCTATTATAATTTTATTTAAAATTCTACTATAGTAATTAACTAATATACTATAATCTTAATACTACTAGATTAATCTTAATTAATTAAACTTTTCCTATAAATAAATATACTTTCTAATAATTTAATATAATTCTATTAGAATCTATTTAGCAGCTTATAATTCTAACTAAATAATAAATAGATAGATAGATAGATAGATAGACTAAATTATTCTTTAAGAGCTATCTCCCCCTGAATAACCTTAATATAGTATATAATATATTAGAACTAGAGAAAGTAACTCTGGTTTTTATATATCTCTAGTACTTAAAGGAAGTTATTTAGCTCTTTCTTAAGTATCTTCTAAAAGATTAGATTAATTTCTAGGTTCTTATAAGCTATATAGTATAGCTTATACCTAAGTACCTATAGTTCCTAGATTTATATAAGTATAAGTAGCTTTATAATAGTAAAAAAGCTAGTTATAAAGTATAAGTTAGAATATTAAATATTATATATAAAGCCCTAAGAGTTCTTACTAATTATCTTTCTTATATATATAAGGGCTAGGTTAAATACTAGTATAAGCTTCTAACTACTAGGGATAAAGATATTTATAAAAGCTATTATTATAATAACTAGTTATAAGAAGATAGTTAGTAATAATCAGTTATAAGAAAAGGTAGTTAGTAATTTATAATTTATAATAATAAGTTATAGCTTATTTACTTACTTTAAAAGGTTTTATAATTAATTATAGATAATAAGTATTCTCTCTTAGGGCTTATAACTAAGTTATATATTTAGTAAGACTTTCTTAGAGTTTTAATAAAGCTATTATCTTACTATAGCTTATATATAAAGAAAAGTATAAAAAAACAGAGTTAAAGGTTAGATATAGACTGAAAATAAATAAAAAACTAGTTATATAGATCTAGTTATATATAGCCTGATCTTAGGATATCCCCTTTATATATAGTAATAAATCTAAAAAAAAAAAAAATTAAATAGTAAATTAAGAATATAGAATAAAGCTTAAGATATATTACTTTAAATCTTTTATCTATATAATTATATATACTATTAGAAGGGCTTTTATCCCTTTAAAACTACTACCTAGGTCCTAGGCTCTTAGTTAGGCTCCTAGTAATAGATAGTTCAGATAAGTAGATAACAGTAGTTATATTTAACTAGCTAGAGAGGTTAGAGACCTTTATTTAACCTGTTTATAGGTTATATAATAAGATAATACTAACCTGGCTAATATATAATATAATACTTTATTTATAATTTTAAAAAAAAATAGATATTTTAATATATTATATTATTTATTACTTTATACTTTATATAAATTTCTTATTTTTTTTAAATAAAATTTTAATTTTAAAAAAAAATTCTAATAATAAAAAAAAAGCTATTATTATAATAAAGAGAATAATAATAGCTAGATATAACTAGAATATAGAGAAAAAGTAATATATTACTTTAACTAAAGCTTAAGAAATTCTAGCTTTAGTTTATACTTCTAGGATAGCTTATATAGACTGGGTTTCCAGGTCTTAGCCCTAAGTATAGTTAGCTTAACTAATTATACCTAGCTAAACCCTAGTACCCGGGCTAATCTTAGTAGCTTCTATAGCTAGCAGCCTATATATTATTTTCTATTTTTTTTTTTTTTTTTTTTTTTTTTTTTAGCTATAAATAAGAATCTAATTAATTCTAAGATTAGGTAATATATAATCTAACTATATAATTTTTATTAAGAATATAATTAGTAGTTTATATCTAAATCTTTAATACTATAAGGAAAAATCTAAATATTATACTTTTAGTCTGAGTATAGATATTAACTTTAGAAAAACTCTATTAATAGAAGTTATTTAATAACTAGATATAAAAACCTAGCTATAGCTTCTAAAGAGAGAAACTATTATTTAATAATAATAATTATTTTTTCTCTCTTAAAGCTTATTATAATTAATTAATTAATTATATCTTTATTAACTACTTAATTAAATAATTAATTAATTAATTATTTCTCTACTAACTATAAAACAGCTATCTATATAACTATTTCTACTTATATAGTTTTTATTCTTATAGATTAAACTAATCTTAATAAGATAATAAAGATAGCTAGTAGATATAGTATATATTTCTTTAATATATATATTAAATATATATTCCTTTAGATAATTAAAAACTTACTTATAATAATAAAGCTACTCTTAATAGTATAGATCTAATAGTTATAATTACTAGATCTAGCTTTATATTAAGTAGCCTATAGTTATTATATACTAGAGATACTTAGAGTAAATAAGAAATAGCTAGAGAAAAAGTTATATCTTACTAATAACTATCTACTTATAAGTATATATTATAATCTAATAATATATTCTATATAGTTCTAGTATATTCTATACTATATTAAATTAATTAAAGCTCTTNTAATATATTCTATACTACTTTAAATTACTTAAAACTTTTAAAAATTAATTATATTTAAGCTTTTTTTATTATAAAATAGTTTAGTTTTAGATATTTAGATTTAGATTAGAATAAAATATATTAGAGTTTATTTTAATTTAATCTAAAATATATATATTTATATTTAGAAATTAGAAAGTTAGTTACTCTAGTTATTAGTTAATCTTATATCTATAAGTATAGTATAGATTTACTATAGAGAAATTTTTAAATATAGATTTAATTAAACCTAATATCTATTTATACTCTATTAGTTTTAGTATATAATAGCTTATATATTATAATTATTAAAAATAATCTCTATAAATATTTTAATATCTAAATAAATTATAGAATTAAAAGATAAATTTTAATTTTAATATTTTATTTAATATTTTCTAAAATTTAAATTTCTCTTTATATATATATTCTACTATCTTTCTTATAACTTTAACTATAACCTCTCCTAGTAAAATATATCCTAACTGGCTAGATAGCACTTACCCTAGTACTGCACTATATAAAAAGTATAGCATATATAAAGGGTATTAAAACATAGATATTAACGCTATCCCAGGCCTTGTTATCGAGCAAGTAGCGAAGGCTGATCATTATAGGTTGCTATATGCTTTGGCCGCGAAGTGCGGCTCTCCACCACAAGGACCTAGTCGTTATCACGAATAGACGCGAGCATACCGGTATTAGCATGACATGAGACATATTCGAAGAGTTGCTGACTAGACTCCAATACCGACACCTCGTGGTAGAGGTGTAAGCTGAGTTCATTGTTCATCTCTTTGGCGTATTTCATAAAGACGGCGAAGATATTGACATGCGTGGGATGAGACTTGCTCCAAGCCTCCAAGGAAGCCAGATCATCGAAATAGCCAAGACCGAAGCTACGATCTTTTCCGGTCTCACCATTGGGGCCAACAATGTCCATAAATCGGTTGCTGTAACAACCAACCTCGTCTCCGTGATCGTGAAGGAAGTCCATCCCGGCTTGCAGAGCGGGGCGCATCATCTTGAGGTACAGGTCACGCTCTTTAGGGAGCGTCTCTTTCCAGTCTTGTCCGGAGCGGATCACAGCGAGGTTTCTCTTGCCAGGTACGCGTACCCTAGACGTAAGAGTGGATGGACGTTTCGGCCCTCCGGCTTGCAAGAACGCCTTCTCACCCACAAGCTCGTCGACTTGTGCCACAGGCAGGCGGTCGCGCATGCTTCCCCAGTAACCGTGCTCCAGAACCGGACCACTGACATTGTCCCGCATGTAAGATGCACCTTCGCGCATGGTCGTGTCAGTCAGGATAGTCTCAAAGCGATCCATGGTAGGGAAGAAGACCTCCAAGAACCATCCATTCTGCTGGTTTGTCGGATCCAAGCCAGACCACCATTCTTGAAACCCAGTCTGTTCCGACCATTCGTTCCATGTCCTTCTATCTGGCCAGTATGCTAGCATAGCGATATTGTAGTGGCTTCGGTTGTCTGTCATGGCAGCGACCTCTCCCAGCGTGGGTCGAAGATGATTGGGGACGGCTGTTGAGCTGATGAAGGAGATGAGTTTCTCCATGGCGACACCATCATTGAGCTCAGATGAGGAATATTGCACTCCAATAATCGCAAAGACTAACTCTTTCATCAACGGTGGGTACCGTGAAGCGTAAATTTCAAAGGGAGGCTTGAAATTGTCTGGCGTATTACCCGGGACAACTCTCTCTGTCCGTAAATGGGGAGCAATAGCCGACTCAATTTCAGCCATGTTTGTATGCGACAAAGATGTATTAACGTTTGGATCGACTTCAGAGATGCCTTTAACACGGTCGTGGTGGTAGTTGTGACCAAGAGACTGTCCGGAAGCCGCATGCACATACAGGCGGTTTATATTCCCTGCTTGCAGAGGCTGAGACGCGCTACGGATATCTTGAAAGCCGACTTTAGTCAGATATGACTTGCGATTGCAACTGCTTCAATGACATAGACATACAATCCAAATCCAGACCATACGATTGGACACTTGAGACAATCGCCCCAACAGCCCAGAACAACCGAAGCTATGGGAGACGATAGGATATTGCTTTCCCGAAGTGGGTCCATTCGATCTATATCGCCCCCATGATGTTGATCACTGACTTTTGTTGATATCAAAAGATAGGATAATGCTCTGCCGGAGATCGGCTAAATCGTAGATTACCCCGCGTGCAGATAGAACAATCATTAATCTGGGGTAAGTGAACATTGATCGATAGGCAATTGCTGTCCCGGACTAGTCACGTTGCGAAGATGAACCAGTAGCTTACGAATATAAGGACTTCGGCGCAGCTTGAAGATCTATAAATGAGCAATACGCATTTGAAAAATCATGAATTGATCGAGGACATCAAGCCTTTTCACACGATATCTCATTTTTGAAGACTCATCCGCATTTGCCCTTTCTTGACAAACCAATACCCACCCTTCGGTCGATTGATTAAACAATGTCAGCTTCCGGTCAGAAACTCAAGGTTGCTGCAATCCAGGCTGAGCCTGCATGGAACGATCTCGAGGGGGGTGTCACCAAGTCCATCACCCTCATTGAGCAGGCTGCGGCGCAGGGAGCTCAGGTCGTCGGCTTTCCCGAGGTTTTCATTCCCGGATATCCATGGTGAGTTACTTGGCCTCTCATGGCTGGCCAAGATACGGACTACTAACACTGGCTGGGTAAGGAGCATCTGGGCACAGAACCCCATCGACAATGGAAAGTTCATGGATGAATACTTCCGCAACTCCCTAGCAAAGGATTCGCCCGAGATGAAGCGCATCTGCGCCGCCGTCAGGGAGGCTGGCGTCTTTGTCGTCCTGGGCTACAGCGAGCGATACAGGGGTACTCTATACATTGCTCAGTCATTCATTGATGAGAACGGAGTCATTGTCCACCACCGCCGCAAGATCAAGCCCACTCACGTCGAGCGGGCCTATTGGGGCGATGGCCAGGGCGAGTCTCTCCAGAGCGTTGTGCCCAGCTCCAAGCTCCCTGATGTCCGAGTCGGAGGTCTCAACTGCTGGGAGCATACCCAGACTCTCCTCCGATACTACGAGTACGAGCAGGACGTCGATGTGCACATTGCCAGCTGGCCACCTCTCTGGCCGACGCCTAAGAAGGATGGAAAGCCTGACCCCGCCTGGCCGAGCCATATCACTGACGAGATGTGCCTCCGCTTCTCTCAAATCGTCTCGCTCGAGGGTGCCTGCTTTGTCGCAGTCGCCACGCAGGTCCTCACCAAGGAGAGCCTCAAGCGATGCAGAGTCGACCAATTTGAGTATGCAACAAACCACCCCACCCATGGCGGCGGTTTCAGCATGATCTATAATCCGTGGGGAGAGGAGCTTGTGGAGCGTCTAGACCCAAGTGAGGAGGGCATTCTCATTGCCGAGGTTGATCTATCCCTGAAGCGGCTTGCCAAGCAGAACCTGGATGTCGTCGGTCATTACTGCCGCCCAGACCAGCTGAGCCTGCGCGTGAACAAGTATCCAGCCCGTGCCGTGCACTACGCCAGCGAACCCTAGATGGCCTAGACTCCGTCCCCTCAAGTGAGCCAAGGCAATAGCTGCTGTGTGGTTATAAATGCATGCTCTGAGTCTTGAGACGCTGCTTCTCTTGACCAACTCCGTTACCTGTCGCTGTCACTTCCACTCTTCGTACCAGTTTGGCTTAACAAGAGCTGCCACATGCAGTTACTGATCCTGTCTATCTTATCGCACTGTAGGAGATGCAGGCGAGCATAGTTACTTGATGTAAGGGTAGTATCAATTTAATCGGATTAGTACAGCAATAAATTCGTTCTGAATATCCCGTGATAAGCTTGTCATTGAAGTGCATATGATCAGCAGTGGGTCAACTGGTCTAACTATTTTGAGAGGAACATTTGGAAAATTACCCGAATATTTACCAACCAATCACAGCCAAAGCCAAGGGAGCCAATCATAAATCGCGACGGTCATTCGTTGTCTTCCATGACGACGAGCGATCGATACATGGCACACCTATTGTCCGAGGAATAGCCGTAGCCCATCAGCCGCTGTTTGTTTCTGACCAACTACAAGCTGCAACTTTCTGATTGGCCAGATTCAGAAATTCTAGCTGTTGGTTTCAAGATCATTTGTTCAATGACTTTAATTGACCAATGATACTTTCTCACTCAACCGGTAAATAGCCGGAGCGATCTCAGGTCCAATTATCCCCAGACTGAAAATGGATCTCTCGGAGTTCGGCTAAAAATAACACAAGAACAACTTGGCTGCTACTTACATGCAACTGGTACTAAGCCGTTTGACTATTGATATGTCCACTAAGATACAACCATTATTATTACAACACTACTTTCTATGTTCTCAATGAGTTTATTGATGTACCTACCACCTGCTTATGGAACAAACTTTGTGTCCATATCGTTCAAATGGCTAGATCACAAAGGTAGCTACAGGGTATCGGCAATTTTCGAGCCGTCGACTTCCTGAGTCATGGATGTTTAGTACAAGATACAGAATTCGTATGTTATGCACGCACAAAAAAAATACACGCGAGTTCCTATGCATATACTTAATAGAATACGACCTCGCCATGTCATAAGTGGCTGGAGGCCTCATCAGAGACCTATTATTCGTCGTACATACCTTGCAGTCACCAACTGAAAATGAATACTAAGAGCATCAAACGCGGAAAGGGGAGGAATTCTATTCCGGTCATCATGTGCCCGCGCTAGCAATAGTTCCAATTCACCAACCTCGACTGCGATAAGGGATTCGGGTCCATCGACTGACCCACCTTCGTCCACTTCCCCATAACATACCCCATCATATTCTCACGGAGATTACGTATTACTTCCCCAGGAATTTCTTCGGCCGCTCACAATGAAGCCAGCTGGAAGGCAGCGTGTGTCGCTTGCTTGCTTGGCGTGCCGCGCAAAGCGGATGCGTGTCAGTCTGACGACCCCCCTGGCGGAGATCTCCCTCCTCGGGCCACCCCACTCGCGATACTGACATTGATGTAGTGTGACGGCAAGGAGCCAGTATGTGCTTCCTGCGTGAAAAGAGACATCGAGTGCATATATCAGCATACGGAGAATAAGCGCAGGTTCGTTAGATCTCGTCTCCAGACCTCCAACCTAACCCGCCAACGGCCCTTCCCGACTCGTGCAGTGTTGAGCAGCGCAATTGATGAAACATTTCGCCAGGCCGCCTAGTAAGAAATATGTCGAGTCTCTGCAGGCTCGGATCCGACACTTGGAGTCTCAGTTGACATCATTGGGTGCTCCGTTACCTGGTGCCCAATGCGTCGAATTGGGCCGCGAGGGGAGCGAGGCGGAAAGTGAGACAGAGAGTGACCAGCATGATCACGATCCCTTGTCCGAGCTGACCGGCCTCGTCGGGCGGCTTGCCGTAGTCGACGATGGGCAACTGCACTATTTCGGCTCCCAGAGCTCCTTCAATTTGCCGAGGCAGCCCGCTAACCCAGCTCCCACGGCGCAGAATCTTTGGACCAGAATGCAGACGCAAGGCCTCGCTGCGGCAGCTCAGCTTGGGATGCTTACCGCGATATCCTCGGAACTTGAGGATCACCTTCTAGATCTGTACTGGAGGTGGCAGAATTCATGGAACTACATTGTTCACAAAGGCGCTTTTTTGAGAAGCCGGGCGGGCCTCGACGATGGGCGATACTGCTCTCCGCTGCTTCTCTCCGCTATATTCGCAATCTCCGCGCGATATTCGGATCGGGTCGAATTACGAACCATCGCTGATGATCCTAGCACATCCGGAAATGCCTTTTGTGAGCAAGCCAAGATATTGCTGCTCTACGAAAGCGAGGCACCGTCGGTTACTACCGTTCAAGCAGCGGCCATATTGGGTCTGCGTATTATGTCGGATGGGAAAGAAGCACTTGGCTGGCTATATTGTGGTCCGTAACGCTCCTGGTGTCTTAACTTGGTGACGGTCTGAGGATGTACGGGCACTCACGCTAACGAGACTGGCAGGAAATGCAACAAGAATGGCTCATAACCTGGGACTGCACATGGACTGTTCTACTTGGGTAGCAACAGGTCTTATCTCCGAAGAGGAGGCTGAGGTTAGGAAAGTGACATGGTGGGGATGCTTCGTTGTTGATAAGTAAGTTGTCTGACAAGTTGTCTTATATTCTCATCGGGGAGGAAATGTACGCAGGCTAATTGTGATCGGAGCAAGGTTATTCGCCTGTGGCCTCGGTCGACCTAGCAGCATTCAGAGGTCCGGTGTGACTTGCCCAAAGCCAACGATAGATCGAGAAGAGTATAGCCCCTGGATGCCAAAAACGGGCGATTTGGAAGTGACGACGCCCCTCGGAGCCCACTCACACATCGCCTCAACAGCTCATTTCGTGTCTGAGTGCATGGCCATTGCCTGCGAGGCCCTCGAATTGATGTAAGAGTCAAAGCATCCACTTAAGATATTCTTTCTCTCGCGCCGCCATGGTGTGTTAATACGTACCCGATCCCAGATATGCTCCAAATAGTAGGCTTGCCGCCAGGGATATCGAGGGTATTGTCAGCAAAGCGGATGTTGACTTGCGTGCGTACTACACCGCATTGCCTACATATCTACGCCTCCCTTCGTCGCCAAAGGTCTCTGCGCTTCCTCACATCTACTTGGCCCAGTATATACCGCCTCGTCTCTGTTGCTCCTTACATGTGCTGACACACTTGGCCAAGCATCCAATACCATACACATCTTGTTCTTCTGCACAGACCCCTGATACAGAAGAAACGTGGCAGAAGGCGAACAAATGATAGCTCGACCACTGATAGTGCCGCAAGTTCCGGCGAGAGCCAATACCTCAATCAGCACATGGAAATATGCCGTCACTCTGCTGCTCAGATATCGAGGCTGATGCATGTCTATAAACAGCACTACACTCTCGTGAGTTGATTTGCAACTCCCCTGTCCTGAGACGATCAAGTTCGAGGGATGGTCGTTGCCAAGTGCGTAAACTGATCGGAGCAGCGTCAAATACCCATTGCTGCCGTACACCTTTCATTCGCGGCAGCAGTTATTCACCTCATCGATGCTCGTCCCACGAACCCGAACTGGGATCAAGCTGTGCGGCACCTCCAGACATGCGTTGATGCGCTCAAAGACTTGCGGACTCCCTGGTGCGCTTGGGCAGACCGGTCGTTGCGGGGTGTGCATATGTTAGCCCTGGACTGGTATCAATGTGACGATGTATCGCAACTGAAGAAAGACCGCCACAGTCATGGGGATGATGCTTCTCGTCCACTATTGACGGCCACCCGCGTACACATGCCTGAGGCAACGAGTCTGAACCAGGCTAACGATGGCGGTTATTCAACTTCATGGGGTCACAGCAAGTCGGGACTCCAAACTGTCGACGAAATCGAGGATTACGCAGCACCATCAAGTATCCCTGGGCAACCAGAACCTGAAAACTTCTGGGCTTCCTTATTTGAACCTACGGATGCGGATCTGGATATGAATGGCATCGTCAGAGAATGGTTGTCTGACAAATGGTATGACTGGTCCTCAACAGGATTCGAGGTAGGTGGAGACGGTGGCAACATGTATGAGCTCTAAATTTTGCATTTGCAGCAGCTACAGCAATGTGGAGTATTTGTATGGCGTATGTGTCTTGGACAGCAGATATGATCGGGTCGGAAGTAGGGTGTTTCAAAAACAGGTCATCAAGTCATATGGAGTAATCATTCAACCTGCCGCTTTTCAAGATGACTTTTGTCAACACCTTCGACTAATGAGATCGCCGATTTCGGTTAATTTCTTCATGAAAAGCTTCGGACTAGAGTGTTACTGCTTGTCAGAGCCGGGTTTAGTGGACGAGAGTGAAGAGCTCAAGCCAATAGCTACATCCGAGGCACCTGTCAGATAGGGGCGAAGCGGTGGTATTATTGATCTCTAAAGCTTCCTCTCTGAGACTCGACATCAGGATGTCAAATGAATAGGGGGAATTAACCTAGTCACGTGACTGACGCGCTGGTCCCTGAAACTGGTTGTGCAAGCCGCTTTGTGGGGATGGCGGCAAGCCGGCGAAAAGGTTACAATATTGATGTCTTATCAGCTTCATGTCCTTTGCTTGGCTGATTTGGGTCACTACTAGGCAGCAAGCAGCAAATGCCATTCATGCCAAGGCCGTCTTGGAAATGACCAGCGGTCTGGCCCGCGCCGCCCGGAATTTGGTCGGTCATACTGCGCATGGTCTTACTGTCTACCGCCAGTCCATGTAGCTATATATGTCAATGTGCCATTAGATCTGTCCTTTAATGACGACGGTTTATGGAGACGCACTTGAAAAGTTATCTTGGTAGGAATAAATAGTGGTGGGTTCATATCAATGCTTAGGAGCTACAAGCTAACGCCTCTATGCCCTGCGCTGCAAAGTGTGATAGCCAAGCTTTTCCCTCGCCTCGGCGATTGTAGAGCCTCCATGTATGAGTTCCAAGATACTTCGTTCGCTCTTCTCAATACTCTTTGTGAGTGCAGCCACCTCGCGGGCTCGATCGCGTGGCACTATTACAACGCCATTGGCATCGGCCACCACAATATCGCGAGGACTCACTCGCACGTTTCCGACACTGACCGACTCATTGATCCCTCCCACTTGCACTCGGTCTTTGCCTGTCCTCATCCAGTTCCCCGCCGTGAAGATAGGATAGTCTTCCTTGATAATTGATTCAACGTCACGATATACCCCATCGATAATAGTGCCGGCAAGGCCTCGTATACCGGCATACCGAGTCATAATGTCCCCCCAGACGGTACAGTCTTTACGACCACCGTTGTCAATTACGACGAAATCGCCGACGCCCACATCGTCAATAAAATCACCAACGCTGCCGGGTGGGTTGCTGGCCGGCACATAGCGCACTGTGAATGCTGGACCAACTATCGTTCTTTTATAGTTCGTCAGTGGCAGGATGTTCAACGCCTGTCCACAAATGCCAAGTTTATCAAGGGCATCCGAGACTGCGGGCGTATCAGTGTCGGTGAACAGATTAACTAACTCTAGATCTTCCGCGGCAGCCTTCTGGGGGTTGCCGCTGGCTTCAGATTCGGAAGAGCTTGGCGAGGATGCAATGGCCTCAAACTGGTTGTCGTGCATGATCTCTGCTACTGAGAAGCCCGCCCGAACCTGCTTGACCATTGCATTCTGGCGGCGGTCGATGCGTTCGCTAAGGTCCAGAACTTCGTCGATACGACCAGCAGGCACAAAAACTGTACCACACTCGTCGGCGATGACCAAATCGTCCTGGTCTACTGTAACGCCACGCATTTCCACGCGCGTTCCGGACTCCAACTGGACCATCCTGTTGCGTGCACTAATCATCGTGATGCCACGACCAAAAACAGGATAGCCAATATCCCGACTTCCGTTGATGTCTCGGCTCCAACCGTCGATGACAGTGCCGCGGATCTTCTTCATTTGGGCAGCATTGGCAATGATGTCACCCCAAGATGAGATACCCTCAACACCCCCAGCGATGACCAGGACGCGATCATCTGTTGTCGTCGCCTCGATTACAGGAGTGATGAGATGAGTGGTGGGTGTGGTCCCCTCCACCTTCGGACCCAATTTCACTGTGCTGGCACGCCCGACAATCTTGGGGCAATTCCAGAGAGGTAGAATGCCGTATGTGGCTCCGGGGAGATTAAGAAAATCAAGGGCGTCTGATACCGTATTTGAGTCTAGGGCTGAAAGCCGGTCTAGGGCACTGTCTGCCATGATGGAGGATCTTTCGTGAACCTGAGTAGTATTGATATAAGGGCAATTGTATTTGGACAAAAAAATTATTACGCATTCATTTTGTACTTATATATCCGTCTACGACGACATCTCCATGTGCTTTGGTAAATGAGGGATTGGGCTCGGCCCACGGCGAAAATACTTTTACCGATTTGGATGGGTTGGTTCAGTTTTCATGCCGACTAAAACCTCTTCATAGGCGCGGCAAGAATCCACCTACTTTCAAGTTTCTATGATTGCGTGTCAGCTGCTACTTTTTGATGTAAACACTGGAGAATGGCCATGTGGCCTTCATTAGTACAACCAATGGCCGTATACCTCGGCACACATAGTACATTTCTCTACTGTGATATTCGATGATTCGGTGATATCACTTGAGGATATCACTGCGAATAACAAAGGTAAACCTTAGTTTCCGAGGAACACCATGGAAGAAACGCCAATCAGTTTGTATTATCGATGGGCCGGTCCCTATCCTGATCTCTACAATTAGTGAGGTCTTTGATTGGAGATAACATAGCACCACTGCATGCATGTAGATTTGGGAGTGAAAAATCCAAGCTGCTAACTACACTAGAAGCGAACAAAATTCTTCAGTAACTTTCAATTTCACTTGATCAATTAGTCCATGCTTTCGGCTGGTTAGATTCCTTCCTTGTCGTTGCAGCCGTAAAGTCACAGAAAGACGCATCTTTCAAGAAGGGGATTCTCAACAATAAGTATGAAAAGAGGCAGAACGGTTGTTTTTCTTTCACCACGGACGATGAAACCAACTTATTCATTTACCCTACCCAACTTGACAAGTGACCGCCCTTCTCGTAGATACGTTACGTATGGAAAAGTAAGCTGTCCTCTGCAGCCTCTTTGGCCAAACTAATAGGTGCCTAGGATATCTTCAAGAGCAGCTACGACGTGGTCGACGTTATGAGTTGTCACTAGATGAATGTATTAGCATCATCGAATTAAGCGAGACTTGAAAACATGCCATACATCCAGTTACCGAGATTCTTCCCGAAGGAAGCATATAAATGTGGTGTTTCTCTCTGACCGCCGTGACTTGCGTGGTGGAGAGTCCTGTCATGGAGAACATACCCGTCTAGGACTCTGTTAGCATGTAGCCCAACATCTCTTCTTTGTATTGCACATATAGGATTGTTCCTACATCCGTTAGAATATGATCCCACGATCCCCGCACCCTTTTCACCAAAAGGCTGTGGTACAAACTCTCGCGCATAGTCTTCATGCGGTTATTCATAGTTGCCAGGTCTTCAAGCCACTGATCGTAAAGGCTCAAGTCACCGAGAATCTGGGAAATAATCCTTGCGCCATAAGAAGGACAAGAAGTTATCTCCGCTCGTGATAGCTGAATAAGAACTGGCGTTATCTTAGCAGCTGCCGTCACGTCGAGGGCTGCAATATGCAGCATTCCTATCCGTTCTCCATACAAACCAAAGATTTTAGAATACGATTGCGCGACGGCGAATTCGAGATCTCCCCTATCGAAAAAGCTAATTATGGCAGAGGCATCCTGGCCAATGTCCCCTGATGCAAGTCCTTGGCTTGTACAGAGTTAGTTGTTGTGCTATTCCGTTTTATATAAAGGGCAGACCTACTAGGCCAGGTCAAAAACAGGAAACAATCCGATGTTCTTGCATACGGTGGCGAGAGTGTCCCACTGCTCTTTTGAAAGATCGACCCCCGTTGGGTTATGCGCGCATGCATGAAGCACTACAACATCGCCCTTCTGTGCCTCTTGTAGAACCTCTACCATAGCATCAAAGTCGATATTCTGGTTTTCGCCGTTGAAATATGGATAGAACTTCTGTTGGACATGGGATCCGGCTAGTTTCCAAATTTCTGTATGGTTGATCCATCCTAGATTAGGAAACCAGACAGTCTTTGGGTTAAGCTCGGTCGAGAGGAACAGCGCGGCTAGGTGGTTGGCTCCTGTGCCTGAAACTGTCTGGATCGAGGCCACGCGCTTGAGGTCTCGATCTTCTTTCCTAAAAACTAGCTCCTTCGATTGGCGAAGCAGTTCAGCGTGACCAGCCAGAGGGAGGTGCTCATGGTTGACCTTGGGATCTGCATGGACTCTCTCTTTGGCCTGGATCCGGGGAATTAGCTGCTAGTTCATGAGTGAGTAGAGTACAAAATGCTACATACCTGTATAACTGATGACAAGATCCATGGTCTCCCGTTTTCGTCGCGATAAAATCCAGGACAGAGGTCAACCTTGTTCTGATTTGTGTCGGTTTTATAAGCAGCCAGCAGGGTAAAGGCCGCGTCGGCCTTGACAGTCGGCAACTCGGAAAAGGACGACATATTCTCTTGCGCGTCTTTCTTGACGGAACAGTGTTTTTTCACTAAGTTACTTGGACCTCCTCTACCTTTCTCTTTCATCAAGAAGAAAAGGTCAAGTCCGTTACGCAATGCTGTCGAAAGATAGAACGGAGAAGTTTTGGCGCTTTCCATAGACAAGATGCGACGAACATGCCTAGGTTCGAAATCCCCGGCGAACCTGAAAGATGCCGACTATATCCACTTATTTTTGCTCGTTCGGTAACAGTGAGAAACCCGGCTTGCAAAAACCTACCAGACAATATAGGAAATGATAACACCCCTAAGGCTCGGCCTTCGACATTTGGCCGAGACGCCTTCTTTGCAATGGCGACCTTGGTACACAAAGGTATGCTAACGGGGTAATACGAACCAGAGAGCAAGACCATTTATCCAAATTCCACTGCTTCATTTTTCCCCATTGCATTTTGGAACTCACTAATTATCGAGTAGTCGTCGTCGTTGCAGAATCCATCAATAT